ACATATACACACTCACACACACACACACACACGCACACGTATACACATTGTGTCCTCATAAACCACACACACATGCACACACACAGACACACACACACACACACACACACACACACACACACACACTGGAATTTACAATTTAATTATTCTTATTTTTTAAATGTAAAATTAATGGCTCTTTATGAAGTGGCTATTTACACTTGTTGGCAGAAGCTATTTACACTAACTCCGCCCACCAACATGTGATTGGCATAGTCAACATTACATAAGAGATTATCAAACAACAGCTCCAGTGGCACAGATTATAAAGCACCGCATTATGCCTGCTGTAGTCTTTTTGATGCAATCGACCTGAGTTCGAATCCGCTTTTTGCCAAACTTGGTACTTATGTTATGAACTTGACAGTGTTTGCTGACATATACCGGTCATTTTGGGGAACTGAAGCATCTTAGAAAAGTAGTTATAACTATTATAAAATACATGAAATACCATTATTATACAATTAATAGTTAAAACATTTAACTTACTGCATAGGGGGATTTTTATAAATGTAAGTGCTTGCAAGAAGTAGTTGAAAAGAAAAATCAAAAAGATCAATGCTGAGATAAAGTTATTCCACACACTGTAGGCTACCTCTTTTCCAGTGAAAACATACTGTGTTTCACTGTAATACTTTGATCACAGACGTCTAGATATTTAATGTTATCTCTGGTATCGGGGACGCATTGTCGCATCTTTCAGATTGAGTCTTTGAAAAAAAAAAAGTGAAATTTTTCTAACAATATTTCAGTTGACAATTTGCATGTCCTGTATTTTCTGTCAGTTGTTTAGAATCAGAAATGGCGATGCCCGATTCATGAACCAATCACTCGAGTCAGTGCTCTTCAATGAATCGCTTCCATTAGTTAGGCCTGAATCTGTTCATGATTCCATCTAAATTATCCGATGTTCACTCACGGACTGAATCGTTTGGACCAAGATTTACACACATTTTAACGAGTGTGTGATACACACCTAGATTTAGTCTAGAGCCTGAGTTTGAAAGTGATGGCGTTTGTCGAGTGCAGTTCTCCCTCTCTCTTTTCGCGCCTCTTTTTCCACACACCGATCATCTGGAGAGCCAATCATGCAAAAGGACCAGGATTAGCAAATTTCTCTGAGACTACCTGAAGATACGAGATTAGATTGATCGACAATCTGACATAACAAATCCTACACCTCTGAGAATTAAATTTGTAAAGTAATCGGTTGAGACTTTTAAGATAAGAAATTTGACTTCAAACCTAATTGCTATTCCTTTAACTCAATATATTTCTTGCACGCTCCTGAACATTGAAATAGTGACCTTTTCTTTCAGTGAAAAGAGATGGTAAAAAGTTTTTGAAATAAAAAACAAACAAACAAACTGTATGAAAGAGGATTTGCAACCCCTTTGATTAATTTGATTGTGAAAAGTGAAAAGTCACAGTTAATTTCATAAGTTATTTTCAGATTTATTTAGATAAAAAGATTTACAGAGAGAAAAGATTTTTCTTTGTAAATAAGGTGAATGAATGAATCACTCACAGGAAGTAAACAAACAGTAATAAACCTGGGAGGCTTATTTTTTACACCACATGACAACTGAAGTGAACCGAAAAAATTATAATGAAAAAGTAAACAGACAAGGGGCCGAATGAAAAAAAAAAAATCATTAGAATATTTGGACTTTTAAAATTCATTTTTCACACCACATAAAGTTCAGAAAGCCAATATTAACCTCATCAATTCCTGATTGTTATCTCTTTTGATATGGTCGTGTAGCCAACACATCAATTCACATTATACGTTCCTTTTATTATCATGATAGTGTTTTATCTTTATTAGCTTGTAAAATGGATGCCACATCTTGAGTTTTCAGCCATGCAATTCTGAAATGTCCCAGATCATGTTAAGAGGTACGTCCTTCATTCTTTCCTGGTAGATGCGGTCAAAACATTCACTCTGAGCCACAGTTAAAGAGTTCTTCCAGTCCCCAACTGTTCCTGTAACACAGCAGGTTGCAAACATTAAAGGGATATGAAACATCTGTCATTAATTACTCACCCTCGTGTCGTTCCAAACCCGCAAGACCTTCGTTTATCTTCAGAACACAAATTAAGATATTTTTTATGAAATCTGAGAGCTTTCTGACCCTGCATAAACAGCAATGCAACTACCATATTTCATAGCCCAGAAAGGCAGTAAGGACATTGATAAAATAGTCCATGAGGGATCAGTGGTTCAACCGTAATGTTATGAAGATAAGAGAATATTTTTGTGCGCAAAGAAAACAATAATAACAATTTTATTCAATGATTTTTTTATCTTCCAGGTTATTCTCCGTCGCTATTCACGAGGGTACAACAATTTGTGTTCCGAAGATGAACGAAGGTCTTACGGGTTTAGAACGACATGAGGGTGAGTAATTCATGACAAAATTTTCATTTTTGGGTGAACTATCCCTTTAATATAACATTTTCCTATTACTGCTGATATTAGATGCTTATTACATTTATGAATAAATGTAATGTTAATAGATTTAATAATAAACGTTTAAATAATGTTTAAATAATACATGCAAAAATTTTATTAACATGAAGGTGACACATTTATATATTTGTATCTTGATGCTTTATTTGACACTACTTGTCTTACCTTTGCGCAAAAAAATTCCTTTTGGACAGTCTGTGGCATTCAGAGAAAGGGATTCATAGTTGGCCAAGGGGTCTTTCTTCATGTGCTTGAATGTGGCTGCATCCACCACTTTATCAATCGCTGCATCTGACAGATTCTTTCCCACAAACTCACAGATTTTTACAACAACGGATCTGAGGTCCTAATGAAAGATTTATACATTTAATCAATTAAGTCTATAGAGATTCATATACAGTATATCCAAAGAGAAGTACAATAACTCAAAATAAGTTTTAATGGAGTGGTCAAAGGGTCAGAAGCCAAACCAGACTCACCTTGATCATTTCTTCATAAGTAAGGATCAGGATGTTGTATTTGTCTTTATTTGTGATCCATCCTTTAACATGGTCAAACCAACAGCCACCAATCACTACAAATCAAAGGTCCTTACAGCCTACAAAAGCAAAATAACTAAAACCCACAATGACACTTACCAAGCAAATAAATATAGTAAACAATAAGATAAAAAAGACAAATTATTTCCATCATTTTGCCACAATATTATGTTTTATTATTTATGAATACAAATACTATCTTTCTCTCACTCTCTAACAAATGCACACACATACAGTACGGACACACATTCACACAGAAAGGTGTTGTAAGCGCTGCTCCGACGTTTTTTATCAGTAAATAGCTTCGCAACTTTTAAAGCTACAGAACATTTCTCACTATAGAGTTAATAACAGCGCTGTTCTTGAAGAAGATAAACTTACAGTTTCGCTAGTAGCGGAGACGCTGCTGACGTTGAGAGTCGTGCAGACTCAGGTAATTCACACATGCTTAATCAATCTCTCTCTCTGATAACTTCATTATTAACTGCATTGTCTGCTATCAACGGCTCAAGCCTCCATTACTAGGTCTAAAATTATATTTTGGAATTAGCAACCTCACCTCACTGGTGAGAGCCAAAGAGGAGCCTTGAGCAGGAGAGGACAGATGGAAACACAGGCCACAGCCAGGACTGCGCTCAGAGGCGACGACGGTGATGGAGGGGAAGCCCGCTGCGCAGACAGAGAGCTAAGGAGGTGGAGCAACGGATCAAGACATCTGCGATGGAGTCATAGCAATGATCGCCCGAGATGTAGGTGGGGATCCAGAGACCAGAGGGTGAGCTGGAGCGACTGAGGAAGGAAGGAATCCACAGCGGAGGTGTGGTGAAGTCCAACCTTAGTGGAGCTGACTGACCGAGGGAGCCCAGTGAGGCCGAATAGCCAATAGTTCATGCCGGAATCGAGGGTGGGAGTAGAACAGGTGTCTGGATGGCGGGATGAGGTGGAGTGGAGTCATCTGTAGCCAGAGGCAGAATCACAAGCTCCTCAGGTGCAGGAGACGAAGACTTCCAGGAAGACCGAGATGGAGCCTCACCACTGAACGGAGGTGAAACAGAGGGACAAATTCCACGAGTACTGCCTCTGTAATTGATGAGACAGTCGACACGCACACCTGTTCGGAGGAGGTCCCCTTTGGCTTGCTGTTGGCATTGCTCTTTCTGGTGAACGACTGAGGCATTATCTCCATCTGTGGTGGGCTCAGGCTATCGCTCCTCGCAGTGGAGCACCCACTCCACATAGACCGCAAAGCTCCGCGCTCAAGGCAAAGCAGATGAACGGCGGCAACGTGATCCATAGAAAAAAACCACTGACAAAATGAAAATAAGAGTTTAAATGACACGCCGCTACTGGTTTTCTTTGTGGACCAGTGTTCTGTCACACGGGTGGTTGTATAAACACACATGAAGATGAAGGCAAATATGTAATATTTAATAAATCTAACAGGTAATCCAACATGAACAGAGCAATATACAACACATCTAAGACAGATGACACCGGACAACTAGACTGTAACGGAACCAAAATTTAATACACATGATAATGAAACACACACACACATAAACATAAAGACCAACTAACTAAGGAAAGACAGTGCAAGCTAAAAAAAAACAGGTAAGTATAAGCATCCCGTGTAATTATTAGAATTGAATTATTAGGTGTAATCACAACTATTCAACGGCCCATAGTCAATTATTCCTTACACACACACACACACATATATATATACAGGTGCATCTCAATAAATTAGAATGTTGTGGAAAAGTTCATTTATTTCAGTAATTCAACTCAAATTGTGAAACTCGTGTATTAAATAAATTCAATGCACACAGACTGAAGTAATACTTTAATTGTGATGATTTTGGCTCAAGAACCAAAGACTTAAACTACTTCAGTCTGTGTGCATTGAATTTATTTAATACACGAGTTTCACAATTTGAGTTGAATTACTGAAATAAATGAACTTTTCCACGACATTCTAATTTATTGAGATGCACCTGTATATATACAGTACAATAACTCCAAAGAAAGTTTGATGGAAAGGTCAAGGGGTCATAGGCCAAACCTGTCTCACCTTAATCATTTCTTCATAAGTAAGGATCAGGATGTTGTATTTGTCTTTATTTGTGATCCATCCTTTAACATGGTCAAACCAACAGCCACCAATCACTACAAACCAGAAACAACATTAGTGTTTTTCAAACTTCGCAACCGGTTCAAGACTCTTTATTTTTGTACTAAGTTAACCTACACTGAGGAGTATATAAAAGTTGTACTAATTCCAAATCACATAAATCTTAATAACTATCATTCATTATATATCATTTATAAGATATACTTTTTTATTAATGAGGGATGGAAGTGAAAAACACTTTATATTCAGATGTGCATAGTTATTAAACAGGTTTTATTTTACAGGTAAAATGTCCAAAAAAAGAGATTTGGATTATAAAAATTGCTCAGTGAGGCAACAGGGTCACAAGTTGAGAAGAAAGGGTATCAACTGCAAAAGACTTGAATTAGGTGAAGAATTAGGTGTTAAACCAAGAATTAAACCATCGGGAACACTTCAGTCCTGTGCTACTATTTTCCAGAACTGCAAACTACTTGGAGTCTTCAGAAGTACCTTCAGAAGGCTCTCAGAGACTTTACTAAGGTAAAGAACCCTGAAACATGACCCCCATCTAAGAACCGCAAGCTGAAGTGTTGTGAAATACATTAAGACAAATTTGTAAAGGCTTAATAGACAGATTGAGGTTGAGAGTGACTGTTGAGGGACCAGCACCACTTCCTCTTGCACCACAGAAATTATCTTCCAGAATGGCAGAAAGTTTTGAGAGTTAATTTTAAGTCTATCTCCTACTCTGAAAGGTCCATCTTGCTAATTGTTAGTAGCAGCTCACACTACAACCCCACGACTTAAACTGGTGCTGGTACCTCAAGAGTCACTCTCAGTCATACTGTCCACACTGTCAACTATCTGTCCATAAAACTTTTTTTAAAAATTAGTCTTCATGTATTTCATCTGTTTTGCAAAAAAAATTATATACTGTATAGACTTAGGCTGTATTGTTTTGGCTCTTACTGCATCCGGTGAAGAATTTTTCCAGCATCTCATTGAAGCTCTCAGAAGAATCCAGGTTTTTCATGTTGTTGGAAAAATGGAAATATGACACCATGACATCTTTAGGGTTTCTCATGACATAGATGACCTGAAAGCAAAGACAGGCGCATTAAAACGTGCATTACATCAAGCCATCATCTGATGGAACGCATACACACTTTTCCTTTTCTTTGCAGCATTTTGGGCATCAGTGGCTGGAGTAAATGTGAGCAGAAGAGTCTCGGAGATGGACGTGTGCTGAAATCTCTCCCTGTTATCCGATACTCCAGCCAGGGCATCTGCTCGTATGTGATTTGGTTGGCTTTGTCTGGGAAATCTTCCGCGTATATTAACGTCATGATCCGTTGGGTCCACACCGTACCTGAGAAACCGGCATAGAGTTAGTTATAAAATACATTGGGCTTGATTGAATAATGTTAATCATTTATGTTATTACATTGAACATGCATGTGCTAATTATAGCTTAAATGGGCAAAGTCAAAGTATGCAGAAAGTTTGACTACAGAGGTAATTTATTTTACAAACATCTCTCTTACCAGATTTTGGGAAGGTGACAACAAAGACATCATCATCCTTTGTTTCAAAATCCGCTAAACTGTCAATATATTCTGGAGTAAGATCATGATTTTCTGTCAAAGTTATGACAGTTCCTTTGTAGGTGAACATTTTGTCACTAAGCATTTTGTATTCCTGCTGAGCCATGTTTGAGATCTTACTGAACCGAACCAACGACACTAGTAAAGCGTAATAGTGGAGAAGACCTAGGGGCAGATTTCACTGAGAAAATAGCTTATCTTTGCTGTTACACAACAGTCAGTTAAAGCATTATTTAAATTTGCATTGGCAAGATCATGGCCAACCTTTGGACATGTTGCTTTAACCTAAATCTGTATTATCAGCCTGTGTACGTAAATGTAATATAAAGTTCAGAAGGCCAACAATATCACAAATAGAAATGCAAAGACTGCTGTAATGCACAGATTTTCATTGCATTTGTTCCATATTTGTACTTTCAGTAATATTCTAGATCAGTGGTTCTCAAACTTTTTGAAGTAAAGGGTCCTTGTCGTCCTAAACAATATTTAGAGGCCCCCCATATACTGCAGGTTAAGATATTTCTACTGTAATGCAAAGCTTCTTGGTTTAACATTTTATTTACAGAAACTGGTAGTGCTGGTTTATTGAATTAATGAACTGTGGTTCGTTTTGTGATTCCAGAAGTTTCAAGAACTGCATGTTTTATGTGATATATGTTTGTCAAAGCTTTGTCTTAGGTTAACCTCATCATAAAAAAACACTTGTTTGCAGTTTTGAATGTAGATAAGAATATGAAGCAATTATAGAGATTTAATGAGACCTTCATTAAAGCACAAAGGTTTGAAATTGGAACGACATGTATCAGTTCGGTCATTTCGTTCACGAACCACTGAGAAGGAAATAAAAGTATCTGAGCATCATAGTATCACAGCATTTACAAAAGTCCATATCCCTGTTGAAAAAACTTTTTCAACAGGGTTATGGCTATTAATTGTTTTCTTTCTTTGATAATTAAGTAATATTTTATTCAATAGTACAATAACAGATTGCTTTAATTACTTATTAATTCGTTACATTTATATAGCGCTTTTCTGGGTACTCAAAGCGCTTTACATTACAACAACCACCAATGTGCAGCATCCACCTGGATGATGCGACGGCAGCCATATTGCGCCAGAACGCCCAACACACAGCAGCTTAACTAATATTTTATTCAGTAGTACAATAAAACATTGTTTTCAAGAATACAATCATTTATTTCAGAGATATAAAAAAATATAATCTCAAGTAAGTGTTTTTCCTTACCTCTCAGGCAGAGTCGGATAGGCGGTATTATGTTTCCAATACATTCTTGTTCTCTCTCAACAATGCTATAACATCACACGCAGACGGCAACGTAATCTTGCTAAGCTGCGTCCTATCTGCACCTCTTCTGCTGCACCTCTGCCATTTTCTGTGGGTCTCTGGAATTGTCAGTCAGCTGTCAACAAACTTCATTCTGGCCATTGTCGGTCAATTACTCAATTACCATCAATTACTCAATAAGTACCTTGGTCCATGTTTATACCCGCCAACTTGAGTACCGCATAACTTATTCTGTACATTAGCTAATAGGTAGGCCTACATGCACCAGTACGTACAAAGGAAGTATATGGAAATAGGACTGTAAAATAAAGTGCACCATTTTACATAAACATTACACAGGAATTACCAGTTCTTCAAACTTTGTAAGCACTGTTGTGGAGAGCAATTTAGCATTAACTGTCCTACCCAAGCAATTGAAAAATAGTCCTCTTTTTATTATGTAAGGTTAGCACTTTCCAAGCGTACCGTAAGTACAGTATGTGTCTTGTTTGTTACCACATAATACCACATTTCTCCGTAGGTGCTACACATTTACCATGTACATATCATTAGTATGTACAGTAATGTGTCTTATTAATTGCCATATACAGATACTGTAAGGATGTGCCTGTTTGTACCCACTTGTCCGTAAGTACTACATATTTGCCATGCATATACAATACATTAGTAAGTACAGTAAAGTATCTAATTAGTTACCATGTACAGGCACTACCTGTAAGTGACCGTTATTACCCACACTTATCTGTATGTACAAAATAATTACCATGCATGTACGACTGTTAAGTTTCTTCTTTGTTACCATGTACATTCACTTCAGGAAAGTACCTTGTGTTACCACGCATTTGCCTGTATTTACCATTTATGTACCAGGTAAACTACTGTAAAATAAAGTGCTACCGGTAACCTCTCTCACTATACACAGCATGTAGCCTATAGCACTATAGTAAAATAAAATCCCAGGTCCGAGCGTCCACTGCTATTTAGCACTCTGGCATGAATATTCCATTCATTCATAAAGAGAGACAGCAGAGATTCTTCAACGGGTTACATTTGAGAGCTATTGAGTTATAAAATAGAGTAAATGAAGTAGCCTATAAGGTGATTAGTCTGCTTAACATGACACACACACACAGACAGAGAGAGAGAGAGAGAGAGAGAGAGAGAGAGAGAGAGAGATGAATACTCAAATTGAAGAATTCTGTTGTTTCAGGTTTCTAGATTCTAGGTTTATGTTTATTTATCATTGTCATATACATTTTGCATTCTGCTCTTTTTATGTAGATTTCAAGTATTTTAGTTCATACAATAATACATTTATTTCAATCATCTGTTGAAAAAAAAAATAGAAACCATCACATAATTTGTAATGGTTTTACTGGTTATAATGAAAATTGTATTGGTTTTAATGGAAACTGTAATGGCGCCTGTTAGTCTCTACTGGTAATTGGTCACGTTCTGTTCATGGCTTTTGTTAAAGCCACTAAATCCTAATGTAATATGTCCCAAAACACACTACAGGAAACCTAAAAATTTTAATGGTTAAAAGTTTATGGTTTGTAATGTTTGTAATGGTATTTGTAGTGGAAATCATTTGAATTTCTGTGATGGTTTCTATTGTTTTTGTTAGCAGGGTCACCATGGGTTTTGTGATGTTATTTGCCATAAATGCAATATGATTGCTGTAATATTGTGAGATAGTAGCGACCGTTTGTAGTTGTGTTGGGCCTATTTGGGAGAAAATCCAGGGCCCTCTTTTACTCCCAGTCCGTCCCTGGTTGCCACCTTCCTGACCATGTATAACGATGCCTTGTCACATCAGAAACCTGAGAGAAGTTAGTTGTTTCGTTAGCATCTCTCGACAGTATTTCTGCTTCGCTTTTAACTGGGAGTCTTGCTGTACTGCCACACTAGGTTGCTATGAGACAAATATCTGAAACTGAGCCAGACATTCTCTTTGATTATTCAGTTTTCTTATTTAATGCCAGTCCGCTGATTACGCAAAAGCGACACTGTGTGCAGAAATGTTTTCCCCGTGTTTCACATAAGTCAACCAGAGAAAGTCGTTGGACCTCTACGGTTGAACTGACCTCTTTTTTGTGAGGAGCCGTTTCCTCGTATCTTTGTAGTTGGACTTAGTAGTATAACAGGATTTATAGGTTGATTCGATTTCATAAGATCCCTGCAGCAGGTTTCAGCTGTGCTGGATGCAGGAACAGGAGTGATATAGGAGACAATTGAGGGAGATCAACCGGGTTAGATGTTGTCATTTGTAGGACTAGTGTCCCGGGTCTGCTTGCTTATAAAGTAATCAGAAATTGGCCAATGTCTCTTCATATTTCAGTGCAATTATCATTTTATACCATGGTGAAAACTGAAATAGTGATAGGCCTACAATGACTTACGAACTCTAGAAATTCTCTAATAAACTCGTAATTGGTGGTTTTTAAATGAGCACGAGCTGAACGAACCATGTTTTACTTAACTTATTTGATATGTATTAACACACTTCTTAATATTAAAAAGTCTGCTAATAAGATGTTCTATGCAAGATATATGCTTCATTTGTGATATAGGTATAGATATAGATATTTATTTCTGTCAGTTGTTTAGAATCAGAACTAACGATGCATGATTCACGGAGGATCGCTCTTTTGAGTCGATTCTTTTCAATGGATCACTTCCATTAATTAGGCTACTCCTGAATCGGTTCATGATTCCATCTGACCAGTTCACTGGTGAACTAAATCATTTGGACCATGTTGCTTTTAAATGTATTTTCAAATAAACACGTAGGCCTACCTATTAGATTAAACTAGCCAACTATTTAGTTATATGAATAGCCCAACACTGAAAGTAAAATTTTTAATGTGTGTGGTCGAGTGTGTGATACACATCTAGATTTATTCTTATTACATGGAGCCTAGGTTTGAAACGCGGATTGTCAGGTTTGGCGAGCGTGGCTCTCCTCCATCTCTTTTCGAGCCTCTTTTCCCACACACGGGTCACCTAATCCTTCCTCTGGAGAGCCGATCATGCAAAACGACTGGGATTAGCAAACTTCTCTGAGACTACGAAGATCTGAGTTCAGATTGTGATCTACAGTCTAGGCCTAATATAAAAAAATCCTACACCACCGAGATCCTACACTCAACCAATTACTTTACACATTTAGTTCTCCTACACCACCGAGAACTTAATGTTTGTAGAGTAATTGGTTGAGAGTTTCAAGACAAGTATTTTACTTAAATGAATTGCTATTTTCATTTATGAGTGAAACTTATTACTTGCATGCTCATGATCATTGAAATACTAACCTTTTCTGTCAGTGAAAAGGTGAACCCTGGATAAAACGTTTCAGTTTTAGCAATAAAAACAAAAAAACTAAATAATTTTTCACAATATTATGCCTTCCTTTTATTATTGTGATAGTGTTTTATCTTTATTAGTTTGTATAATGGATGGGATGTCGCAGCTTGAGTTTTCAGCCATGCAATTCAGAGATGTCCCATACAAAGTTAAGAGGTACGTCCTTCATTCTTTCTTGGTAAACGCGGTCAAAACATTCACTCTGAGCCACGGTTAAAGAGTTCTTCCATTCACCAACTGTTCCTGTAACACAGCAGGTTGAAAACATTAATATAACATTTTCCCACTGCAGCTGATATATCACACTTATCACATTTAAAGGGATAGTTCACCCAAAAATTTAAATGATGTCGTTATTTACCCTCATGTTGTTCCAAACATGTAAGATCTTCGTTCAACTTCTGAACACAAATTAAGATATTTTTGATGAAATCCGAGAGCTTTCTGGCCCTCCATAGACAGCAGGGGTCCTACTATGTTGAAGGCCCAGAAAGGTACCAAGAACATCGACAAAA